CAGGACCCAAACCGTTTAGGGCTTTATAGGTCATAACCAGCACCCAGCACCTTAGAACCTAAGTTCGTCATGTCTTACTCCTGTGGTTACAACGGGTTGCCATTTACACCTGCCTGGAGAAGAGGACACTGCTACAAAGTGCAGATTCTCCTCACACCCCACTGTCAGTATCAGGGTTGTGGGCTAGAAGCTGGGTAAGTCACCCAGCCCCAGACCTGCCATGCTTCCTATTGCACCAGCACTCATCTTCCCGCGCTAGCCAAGATTCAGGCTGATCCCTCCTTCCGGGGTCAGACAGGAATTCCCCACCAGCACCAGAACACCCCAGCTGGGCAGGGCCTTTGGCACTTTCACCTGCTTTGCACTGAATCACGAGGAATATTTGCTTTGTAGCAAGTGGTGGTGCTGTTGGTTAGGCTAGGATGATTACAGCTTGGGCTGGTGGGGCAGACAGGAATGAGTGAGTGCTGAGCTTCCAGAGGAGCCAAGAAATGAAAGAAGGTTCCTCGTGACTCACCAGCCACATGGCTTGAGCTGTGGGACTGGAGGGCTGTGGATTAGGAGAGCACCCCACCACACTGGAAGGTGTGGCTGAAGGATAGAGAGAGACTCAGGACAGCGTTAGGCCTACGCTTATTAGTTAGCTGTAACTAGCACGGTGCATTTCTTGGCAGACCTCCTTTGCCGTTCTTGAAGAAGTTGGGTGCCTAGTTTGAACTAGGCCTGGTTCTTGCAGATTTCTTTCTCAGCATGGTGGAGGATACTTGGGTCTAGCACGCTGCAGCGTCTTCCTACAGCACTACTAAGAGCATTTGGCCATATGTATGTGGAGGGGGCAACAGTGATTTACCAGGCAAAGTTGGAGCTTATGAAATCCTCTTGGATGTGCCCCTTTAAAGATGAACAGGCCATTTCAGCATTGCAGCAACACATAGCCAAGAATGTTGAGATTGATAGTTTCTTCAAAAATTAGAAGTATTTTAAGAGCTATTTGGTTAACAAAATAGATCGTGTTACCCACCCAGCCTCAAGGACTTGGCTTCTGCCCCTGAACCACTGCTGTTAAATTATATGTTGCATGCAGCACTTACGATGGACATGCTTGGGGTTGCCAATCTGTTCTAGTGGACAAAAACAGATCTCTCTGACCAAGCTTATTAAATGCAAGACATTCCTATAAGAAACAGAAAGTTCAACCACAGAAGAACATTTCTCAGCTTTGTTACTGGGGAGTGCAACCAGGCTCATAGGCGGGGGTGGCAGGCAGAGATGGTCAGGAAACTTACAAAAATATCATTTTTAAAATATGCCATCCATCATAGCCAAGCCTGAGTTGAGCAGCAATAAGCGGTTAAGCCTTATAAGCCCAGTTAGTCTGCCGACACAAGGCTGCATACCAGATTTAATTGGAACTTCTTGCAAATTTCAGTGATGCTGCTTTTGCAGGAGAAAAGGAAAACGCTGCAAAGAGGGAGGGAAATATCTCAAAGAAGGAAAGCGTGGCTGGGGAAGGACTGTGGCCCAGGGTAATGCTTGCAATGCACGGAGGCCACAGCCTCCATATCTGGCATCTTCAGCTGAAAGGGTCAGGCAGCAGATGCGAGGAGAGGCCTCGGCCAGGCAGCCACTGCCAATCCAAATAGACCATACTAGCCTACGTCGTATCTTTCAAGCAAGACAATTTTCAGAGAGCCAAGATTATTCCCAGACTGGCTCATACAAGGTCATCATGCAGGTTTTTTTGCCTGGAGAAAAGATATGAAATATCATGGCAAGGTGGGAGGATAATGTTATTCGCTACAGAGGTTTGAAGCGTACATTCCACCACCTGCAACTGGTTGTTTCTTGCTCACTTGGCACTTTGTACCTCTTTTTTGTGTAAGAGCAGGTCCTGGCACGAGTTTCGGTGGGTCTGCACGTGAATGATGGGTATCTGGTGCTGGCACATGCCTGTGCAGCTTGGAAACTGTCAGGAGCTGCCTTGGTTGAGAGAACTGCACTGACTGCCTATTCGGTACCAGGCCAGACTTAAAGTTCTAGAACTAGTGTGCAGATCCCTAAACAACTTGGGACCAGGATCTTTGCAAGAAGGGCTTCCCCTTTACCAGCATGTTTGGGCCCTGAGTCCATGCTAGCTCCACAAGGGATCTATGACCCACTTGAAGCCCACTCAGTGAAGGGTCTTCAGTGTGCTGGCCCCTTTACTGTGGAACTCCCTGCCTCTGGAGGTGTCCATAGTGCAGATTGGGCACCTGGTATCTAAAAGGTTCATCATCAATGGGTGAGGGTTAGAAAAAAGAGGTGTCCTGGCATGATACTGATGGTTCAAATATGTTTACAATAGGCAGAAATGATGAACTGTGCAGAAAAAGCTACTCAGGAAAGGCGTTTTCAAAATTCTCCCATTTTCAATGGAACTTTACCCCTATATTAGGGTTGGGGTATTTACCAGGGTAGGGTTAGGGTTAGAAAAATGTGGTGTCCTGATATGATTTTGATGGCTGGCATGTGTTTAGAATGGGCAGAAATGATGAGCTGTGCAGAAAAAGTTACTCAAGGAACGCTTTTTCAAAATCCTCCCACTTTCAATGGAATTTTACCCATATATTAGGGTTGGGGTGTGCACCACGGTAGGGTTAGGGTTAGAAAAATGAAGTGTCCTGGTATGATTTTGATGGTTGGAATGCATTTAGAATGGACAGAAATGATGAGCTGTACAGCAAAAGCTCTACCCCAGAGCAATTTTCCAAGGTCAGAGCTAGGCCTCTATATTATCCTTCTGCCTTCTAGTCTCTGTCCGGCCACCATTTGCATGCAGTGTTGATTGTGAAAAATAAAATAGGGATATTATTATTTTAACATCACAGATTAATGTGGAAATCTAATGCAAGTGAACAAATGGGAAATGTCCTGAAATGGCCACATGGAGCCACCCTTACTGAGGTAAATGGTTTGTGGTACTTGTGTTTGCTTCATTACTCTTTGGATTTAGTTTCAAGGGGAAAGAGACTTGACCCCTGGGAAGTGCAGTGAGAATTCGACTGAGGATCTTTCTTCAGCAGCCCAGGTAACCAGCATGATGGATATATGCTTGGATAAGTCTGAAAATACATCATTATCATTGGCAAAGAACACATATCTTTAGGAGTTTTTTTATTTTATAACCAAAAGGACAGCAATCAGTTTTAAATATACGATCTAGGAGAGATTTGCCAAGAGTTCTGTGGGAACTGAGCAGACTGAAAACAACAATGAACAATATTTCTTGCACTATTTTCAGCTTGTGCTTTATATCTTTCAGTCAGCCCAGATATTTTTGTTCTGTAATTTGTGATGTCCAGAATTTAGGGATAGTATATAAGATTGATGATGAAGAAGGAGGCGGAGGAGGAGGAAGGTGGGTGAGGGGAGAAAGAACTCACAAAAAGTGAAGGCAAGATGGCATGTTTCAGACATTGTTTGGAAGTCTGTATCTTAACCAGCAGCTTATGAAGTAATGAGCAGTATTGACAGTGAGCCTGATTGCAGCAATGGCAAGATCTTTCAGAAGCATGTGTTAAAAACCTGCAAATACAGTGCAAGTGGGAGAAAATCAACTGCTTGTTTTAACCCACCACAGTCTAGAGTTCTTCTTTTGCTCCCTCTCCCTCACAAATTAACAGCGCTGACTTTCAGCCAGGATGTGCCCAAGCTGAGCTACAGATTCTGTGAGTGAAGGTTGCCAAGTTTGGAATGTAAAAATATCAGCCCCTCTCCAAGGACCCAGCAGCCAGTGAGGGAACTTCTCAGATCAGACTTTTACAGGTCAGGGCTGCGCAAAGCATAATCCTGCAGGGTGTGACTGTAGAGGCTAGTTCAGGGACAGCGGTAGCAACATACACAGGCACACCAGTGATTAAGCCAACTCTGAAGCCTTCTGGCATTTTGATCTCTCATTATTAGAAGCATTTGGGACATTCTTTGCTCATGGTAGGCAAAAGAGAAACCCATCCATACTTAGAATAAATTTTATGGGGTCACACCACTGCAGTCTAGCTGAAGAGACCCTAAAGGGCTGGGATGGAGAATTCTATCTGATTTAGTGGCCCATAACTAGGACTGTAGTCCTATAAACATTTTCTTGGGCTTCAACCACACTCAGTGATGCTTACTTCTGAGAAAACATGCATAGTATGGGACTCTATAGCATTGATATAAAAATCATAAGATATTCTCCAACATATTCATGCATATCAGGAGCAATGAGATCTACTGTAGTGCCATGGTCAGAGTGTTGGACCAGGCAGATCTGGGTTCAAGTCCCTGCTTGGGATTGGGCATGAAGCTCACTGGGACTTTGGGCCAATCATGGACTCATAGCCTGACTCACAAGAGGAAAAAAGGCAGGGTATAAATGCAAAACTATGGTGATGTTTTTCTTCTCTCCAAAGGTATGGCTGCAATCCAGCATTTTTATTAAAGCCCCTAATATCAGTTGGTTAGATTATTATATATTTATAGATACACCTAAATATTGATATGGGGACTTTTTTTGCAAAATATTGGTGAGAATTTTTACATAACTTTTAATTTAACAAAAAAATATTACTCATGTTAGAAGGAAAGGATATGTTCTATTATGGTAACAAAACAAAACAAAAAAGCAGTGAAAATGATTAAAACAACCTGCAAAATAAGCAAGGGTGTTTGTAATTTACTGATTCACCAACTTAAAGCTATAGTTGATTAATCCATGAGTTGTTTGTAGATTTCTACCTAATGTATGTGTGTGTGTGTAATTGTTGCTATTGCTGATTGTATGAATTTGTCTCTATACAAATTCCATCATCCACAACATACATTTCCTTGCTAAAGCTGCATGTAGTACAAGAAACCGGTCTGACCTGAAAATTGAAAAGTCAGTGTTCAGTTTTTCAGCAGCATCCACAAATATCAATATCAATACATTAGAAGGGTTTTCTTTTAAAAGGTGCGGGGGGGGGGGTGGAGTGTGCACTTACTGGAGTGAAGAAGAAGGTTACGCCTTTCCCTTGGACAGTTGTGGCAAAGACAATGGATTCGTGTGTCTCACTCATGTAATCACTCTGTGTGAGGTCTGGAAACAGAAGGGAAGAGGGGAAAAGATCTTTTGAACATTTCCCAGTGTGAAGAGCATTGATTGAAATCCAGACCAGGCCACTGATATTTTTTTCCTGTAAATACTTCGCAACAGTCCATTAAGACACCATAGAGCCTTGTTTATTCACTGCTGTAAGTAAAGTTGGCACCTGGTTACTGTGTGACCAGCTAGAGCCAATGTGCTTTCAATGGCATATTCCCAAGAGCTGTTTCTTGAACAGTAGCCCTACATATATGTAGACTAAACATGCCATTTAAAAAGAAAAAACTGTTTTAACACATCGTTATCATTATATATTGCATTTTTAGCTTGCCTTTTTTATCTGATGAAGAACCCAGAGCAACTTACCTGACCTCCCAACAACAACCCTGTGAGGTAGGTTGGGCTGAAAGACAATGATTGGCCCAAAGTCACCCAATAAGTTTCAGATGGGGACTTGAACCCAGAACTCACAGGTCCCCAGCCCTACACTCTCACCATAACACACTGGTTCTCGTTAAGATGTATGATAATTGATGATTAGATTATCATCATCATCTTCATCATCAGATGGTATTGATGGATCAAGTGTTGGTCTTCTGTAAGAGTATCTCTGCCCAGTTTGGGGAATCCCCCCATTTCCCTCCTCCCCAGTCACCAAAGGTCACCCCAAAGATGACTGTCTGTCTGTGCAGCACTTGTAGAGGATCTGAAGTGGGGAAGGGAATCCCTTTCCATCAATACAACTGACCCAGCAGAAATCCGAGTTCAGCTTCTGATAATGAGATTTCCATAAATGTGTGTGGTCTTTATGGTACTCTAAAATTAAATGCAGAGGAAACAATGAAGGAAGGGAAGAGAGATGAAAGCAGGACAATGCTGGGGAATATTAGACACAGCTCCATGTTCTTCCAGGTCAGCATTTTAAGCCTTCAAACAATTCAAGAAGTAGGATTCGTTTTATTGTATTAATTAATCCAGCCATCCTGGGACAAGGGCCACTTGTGATGGAGCTCCTGGCATTTCCTAAGCCGTGCTGGACCACTGCAGCCAGGGTGGGACAGGCGAAATCCTGGGTTGCAGAGAAAAGACTGTACCAACTTCAGGAAAGGTATGAGTTGCAGTTCTTCTTGAGAAATGGGGGCAGGCACTGTAGAATCCAGCACAGGGATGGAAAAAGTTGGATTCGGATGGGTAGGACAAATACAGGGAAACACTGGGCTAGGCGGGGTTTTGATTTTGCTTTGTTTTGTTCCAAAAATGTCTGGAAAAAGGTGTGTGGAAGGGAAGCTTCTGGCTTCCTAGATTGTCCTTTTGGTCCTGACATTTGGCTTTTTTTCTCACTCCTGTTCTTTGGATCACTCTTTGGACTTAAGTTGCTCTTTGGTCCTGCCTGGTCATTCCTCCGAAGCTCTTTTTTTGTCCCTCCCCTCATCCATCCACCGTCAATGCAGCACGATTGTATCTGGAGTGAAGCCCTCTCACTGTGCCCTTTTTGAGTATGTCCATCAGTTCTTTTGTGAATAGCCACGCTAGACATTATACGAAGCACAGAAATCCTAAATCTTTGAAAGTACATGACTTTATAAAAAGCATATAAAGCCATTATTAATTATAATTACATTGCATTTGAATCCCACCTTTTCCTCTTGTGAGGAACCCAAGATGCCTCCCATAGCTCCATTTGCACCTCACAACAAACCTGACAGGTAGGTTAGGTGAGAGAGAGTGACTCACCCACCAGTGAGCAGCACGGCTAGAACCCGGATCTCCCCTTTTCCAACACACCACACCACCCAGGCCCTCCTGAATCAGCAGGTACAACAAATCAGCTTAAAAATCCTTATATAACAGCAAACATCAAACCCAATGCCTACATTACAATCCTTGGAAACTAAGTTACATAAAGAGACCTGTGGGATTCTATATTTCTACATTCGTATCCACATATGAGTTTCAACCAAAATTAAATTTCTCCTCCCTTAAAAATGTATGCATTCGTTAAATTCAGCATTAGAGTAACTTCATTTAATGTGGCCTAGACCATTTAGTCACTCCAGGGCTCCAGCTTAGCTGAAGGCTGCATTCTGTAGCATAGATAGCATAATATTTAATCCCGTCCTGGCTACTGCCTTACTGCTAGCTGGAATTCCTCTCAACAGCAGCATCGGCATGCAGTCACCAGCATTAGCTCGCCCGCTCTTTTCCTTTTGCAATCTGCCCCATGGAATCTGACTCATTTTCCCCAAACTGATGCGATTCCCTGTCACCCAGAGGAGGAATTTGGCAGGGTGAGAACTGGGAGCCCCTGTTTGTGCTTGAACAATGTCTTTTTCTTCGAGTGAGAAAATTCAGCTGCCAAGCTTCTGTCACCAGAGTGACAAGCAGTAGGAAGGTCATCTGGGTCCCAGTCGATGCGGCACTTGCAGTCTAGAAACCTGCAGAGCCCACATATTGGCTGCTCAGCTAACGGCACCCCTTAGATAGACCTGCTCTGACCTGACTGGCATCTATAAATAGCCTCTTTCCTGGGGGAGGTGGGGGAGAAGTAGACCTAACGATGTGCAAATTTAACAGCTTCATCCACAGAGAAGACTGCAATCTGGGATTTTTTGAGGGGAGAGGAGGAATCTTTCCAGCTGCACCATTTTTGTGGCCAACTGAATCTAAGCCACCCACTAGGCCGGTGCCAGGAATTGCTGAAACCTTCCAGAGCCGAGTGGGTCTCCGAAGGCCCCTGGATCCAGCGCTTCTCCTTCTCCTTGGCTGCCATTTCTTCCCCACCTTCTTTGCGCATCCAAGCAGTGCTGAGAGGGCAGCGACAACACACACTTCAACTTTCATGCTCTCTTTGGAAGGCTATGCATCTTGGGCCCAGAGGTTGGGGCAGGGGAATGAATTAATAGCACTGACTCTGGTGGCCAGAAAGTGGTGCCGCCAAAGGGTAGGGGCTGCCTGAGGGCCTCTTGCTCCCAGTGCCCCCCAGACGAGGTGCCAGCACTGCCAAGAATCCACGCACGGAGCATGTGAGCCCTGCATCCACTGGGGCTGGGCTGGCTGCAGCAGCCTAAACAGAAGATATTTTTTTCAATTATTCCAAAACGGTGATGGCTGCTGTAAAACCCTGAAATACAGAGCAAGCATTCTCTGTAGTGCTTCTTGTGTCCCACTGGCACGGCAAGGATTTGATCATAGCCCTTTAAGCACCCCATACCATGAGCTGCCTCTTCTTTTCACTTCCTGAAAGCCGAGCCAAACATAGGTGGCTACTTTTCATTTCCACCACTCTTTCTCTCTCTTTTCTCAGCCCGTGTCTCTTCCCTGCTTCCTTCCCACGCAATAGCCAGTGGGACAAATCAGTTTTGGACTGAATACAGGTAGAAGGCCATTGACATTTGGCGAAGGTCTGTGTGAAAGAAGGCCAAGGGGCACATGCTGTCCTAGGGCTGCGGGGAGCTTTCCCTGGCACGAATACATAATCCTTTCTGTCAGGCCTTTGCTACAGAAATGCCTCCTGGGACTGTGTCCCTTGGTCCAGTGCTACTGCCCCATTACAAGCCGTGAGTGGATCTGCACTTGCTTCTACTGATTGTGGGCCGAGAGTTGCCGGCTATTCAGCTTGAGAGGAGTTTAGTGCATAGCTGCAGCCCAGTAACTAAGAGTCTGCTTGCAGGTAAATACTCCCCCATTCAATCCCAGGCAGGATGGAGAAAACCCTGGAAAACCACTGCTACTCACATGAGATCAGATCCGTTGATTTCTATGTAGATTATTTCAAAATAATCATGAAACAAAAGATATCAGTTCAAAGATACCATACTGGTATGAAGACAATGCCAGTGGAGTGATGTATCCATTTTGGGTTTTAGTCTAAACTTTAAAGGAGCCCCCCACCCATCTAAAAAGGGTCCTGGGAAGCTCCAGAAATGTTCAGGCTGCAACCTGGAGTGAAGAGATCAATGCATCGCTGGGCACAGGTGAAGTGGAACCAGGGCTCACTGGATGCAATGCCAGTGCCTTTTTATTAGCAGGGCCCAGCATGTGATCTCCCGCCACCACGCACAGACTTTCCTGTTCCCTGCAAACCTCACAGAAGCTGGCGGAATCGAATCTCCCATTAACAGCATATTGTTCCCCATCATTGCGCAAAGTACTTTGGGAGGCTGACTTTTGAACGGGCCATTAAGCTTTGCAAAAGCCCTGCTTGAGGTAGAGAAGAGAACTGTTGGCAACGGTTCATCACTGTGGATCAAGCTGGCTGCCTGGAACTTTGGACCCTCCCTGGGGGTTCGGCCCCAGCAAGCATGACAGGGAGCTCCTGTGCTTCAGAAACTATCACTCCATTACTAGCATCGCCTTTGCTGAGGAGTCATGCTGGATTGACAAAATGGGAAGGGGGGCACGTCCCCTTAGAGCTGTTCAGTGGAACTCCAAATGGATCCGACGTACAGCAACTGTGATTGGAGGACAGTAAATACAGACTGAAAAATAAATTGTATAGCAACTTCTCTTGAGCAGTGAAGCAGAAAATAGTAGGCTGGTATAGAATAGAAACAGTAAGTGGTAGGCATCTGTGGGTTTGGAACCAGAGAGTTCCCCTGATAGGACTGGGCAAGGCGTTCCATTGCAAACCCAAACTCCGGCTATATAATTTTGTTTGGATTTGGCTTTTTACAGCCTGTAGTATTTTGCTTGGCTTCAGGACTGTTTGGGACTTAGAACTTACTTGGAGTGCCTATTTACCGATGAAGTCTGGAGCTGCCAGAAACCATTACATGAGCAGTGGAGCTGAGCAGTGGAGCCCTCGTGATGGCAAAGATCTTTGTAGGCCCATTAGAGAGCGATGTGATTTTAGTGGAGGCAATAAAATGCCACTCGCCACAATAAATGAATAAACTCATTAAGACAATTGCAGTGAAAGCAATACTCAAGCAACTGGCTTTAGACAGGCAGTCTCACTACTACACTCAGCATGGTGTGAAGTAACCACTATCCTG